TATACACATGTGATATATGGTAATGCACATATACCAATGCACATATACACATATACATAAACACATATGCATATTTATATACATATACACACCGTATATCACTATATACAAAGTACCTGTGGAAGGATTCAAACACAAAACCTTAATACTGATACTGATTTAATTTTAGTGGCAATGACTTAAAATCCCTATACTCYACCAATGTCATTACTTTGTAAATATTGTAACAAACACTGAACTTTTCCCTTTTTGTTGGCTCCCGTTTCTGCATTTCTGAAGTTGGAAATCTATTTGCTGTTCATCATCAAAAACACAACTAAAAAACAACAACAACAACAAACAAACAGAACTGGTCCAAGAATGGATCTTTGTGTGACGCCACAAATACATTGTATTTTAATAACCCAGAATTTTTCTTGATCTCAGAGGTATAACATTTAGACAACAGCGTCTCAGCACAGACACATTGTGATAGTTGTTACAGGCCATCTCGTTTTATAAACAGAAGGATCATTTGTACTCGCCTTTATCCTGTCAGGCACCCYTTCTTGCAGGCGGACATGGCACCACCTCACAGAGATCCACCGACATCGTCCATTCACCACTTTCTGGCCAACGCAAAAGTTCAAGAAGCCAAGTCTACAATGGAGCTCATTTCTTTTCYTTTTTTCTTTTCKTTTTGATTTGTAAATAGYTCTGTTCTAGTGCAACAACTTCCAGGCTTGTATCTCATAACCATCAAACATTTACATGAGAAAGTTGACAAAGGCTGAAACAGTGGAGGAGGCCTTTTTTTTTTTTTCAACAAAGAGGGCCATTTACGGTGTACAGTCAGGGAGAGACTCTGAGAAGGGAGGGTAGGAGGAGAAGCTGGGTGGAGAGTTGAATTAATGAATTAAAAATAAATAAAAAAACAGTGGGCATCTGAAGACCTTTGGGTTTATATAGTAGGGGGTATGTTAAGGAGGTGGAGGGGAGGCCTCGGAGGAGTGGACAGCACAAGCTTTTTTAACGTCCCCCTGAGTGGACGCACAGGGCGCTCTTTCACTCTGCTTTACACGCAAGAAAAGAAAAAAGAAAAGAGTGTAAACTGCGCTCATCCGATTACATAATGATCCAGTAACCGTGAGCCGGAACCGGTGCTGCCAGTGCCAGTGTGCTGGGAGACACTGACCGACCGCTGGGTGGTCCTCATCCAGGCCTCTCTTCAAACAGGTTTCATGTTTTTTCTCCAGAATATTCTTTTTTTTTTGTTTAACGTATATGTAGAATGACTCTGACGTAGAGCTGCAGAAGGAAAAACAAAGCGATGTCTTGATGAGAAGATGATGCAGAACATGTGYGAGCCGTCAACAAGTGCAACTCGCTCAAGACCCTGAAACTTTGCAGCTTTTTTTTTCTATTGCTTTTCATATCAACAGTTTTTTTTTCATCAGCTTTTCCACATGTTTACTGGACAGTGAGACTATATTAGAGACGCTGCGGTCAAAGTAGATTTTTGCTGCCAGTCGACAGAAAGGTAAGAAAACTGCAGACATTGATGTCTATACTGTATATGTCTAATTTGAAAATAAAACATGCATTTTTTTGGCTCCTTTTAAATCCTATATTTGTAAATAAGGGTATTTTGGGTGTAAATTTATGTGCTGCATAATTACTGCTTTATTTAAAGGGGGGTTTTGGTGTCAGAAATGGGAGAAAATGAGCATTTCTTAATGTTGTAMGTTACATGATGGCTGACTTTAAATGATAGCATAACAATTGCTCCGTCTTGTTGCACCTGTTTGGTTGTGCAGAGGCTTGTTTGCAACAGAACACAGTTCACCTGTTTAATTTATATTATACTGAATGTGTGACAAGAAATAAAAAAATTTAAATAAAATAATACAACCAGAGAAAATGCAGTGTGGATGTTCAAAACCTGATTGAAAAATTGGTTGAAAAAAGCTAAAATTGAGCTGTTGAAAGCTGAACAAAAGATAAAATGAGCTAAAACCAGTGGCTAAAAGCTCAAACTAGACAACCAATAGCTAACATTTAATAAATGAACAAGTTTGTTGAAGTGGAAATAAATATACTTAAGTTTTTCAAGGGGTTTGAYGTTTTCTACTCATTTCAATTTGAAAAAAAAGAGATGAATTCAATGTTTTCAAATGTCTAAACGTTACAAAACCCAGAAGCCATGGCTGGGATGTCCTGAACAAGCTGGACGTTTAAGTATATGAATAATTCAAAGCATACTCAAGCAGTTGCCTTCCAAATAGATAGATAGATAGATAAATAAATGAATAAATAAATAAATAAATAAACAAATAAATAAATAAATGTCAAAAAGAAACGCAACTGGAAAACAGTGCTGCCTGCCCACTAAAACATAGTTTTATAGCATAAAAGTCAAATATAACTGTTATGTTTTTCTCTGTAAGAAATTTCTCTGTTCCAAGAGAGRAATTTGAAGGCAAACATCTGCAAAATAACGGCAGTGCTGCAGCTGAACACACCTCCAGCCAGATTCAAAACACTGGTAGAAAAAAGCACACATAACAGAACTGATGTGACACCGTTTYCATTCAGCTCCTCAGCTGGAACTTTTTGGCTGCTCTGCTTGGGGAAGAAAACAGCTAAAGTCACGAGTAATCGTGGCTGCGATCCATTCAGAAGTTGAGGCCAGAAGTCAAACGTTTTGTAGTTGTTTTGAACGTAAAAATGTCTGGATGCACATCTGCAGCCTTTTGGCATTGATCCAGTTCAAGATGGCCGCCACAGCTAATCAGTCTCAGAGAAAGCAAATTACGGCTCTAGATCTTGAGCTAAAATTTTATTTTGTGGAAAACTTTGGCCTGTAACATGCAATCTTGTAGAGGAAACTAGTGTATTTCTAGGTTTCAATTTAATTGAATACGTGATTTAATTAATTTATTTTTATTTATTCAATTTCTTTCATTCATAAATCCAAACAATTCAGTAAAATTTAAAAAAGCAAAGAAAAAAAGGCAAATCATGTCATGAATGTAAACAGGCGAATGTATGGTTATAAATTTCCAAAACCAAACAAAACAAAATACACAAATTACTTTAAACATTAACATCTTTTTAGTTCAGTTTCACTGCCGTGCTGCCTGTTCTGAAACCTAATTTCCTGAACTGCAACAGGTACCAGAGGAAGTGGTTTGACACCCTGGTTTAAAAAAAAAAAAACAACAGCTCGTGGTAGTGCCTGGAAACATCCAGAAAGGTTTAAAGGCAGAAACTGCACTGGTGGAACAAAGAGGGGCTAATACGCCTTACTAACATCATGTCAGTTTGTATTAAACTTATTAACATTTGCTTCCTAAACGGCCAAAATTTGGTAGCACGATGTTTCAGTGGTTAGCAGTGGTGCCTCACAGCAAGACAGTCGTGGGTTTGATTCCTGGTTTGGATCTGGGATCTTTCAGTGTGGAGTTTGAGTGAGTTTTCTCCAGGTGCTCCAATTTTCKTTTACAGTCCAAAAACATGCACATCAGACTACTCCAGGTCCAGTTATCCCTTGCAAAAGAGATCAGTGATTTGTCTGGTTAAAACATAATGAAAGGGCATAACTTTAGGTCTACTATTGGGGGGTTACGTATGCTCTGAAACCCTTCATATCATTTTCAGCAATTATGCTTAAATATACAAATATGACATTTTAAATAAAAAAATAATCTCAAAGTTACCTAAAGACACCAAAAGAGTTGCATCTGTCCAACCAGTTAATTTCTATTGTGTTTGAGCAAATTATATCATTTTATTGGGGGGATTGCATTGACTGGATCAAATTATTGTAGGGGTCATAACCACCCTAAAAACCCCTGCAAATTAGGCCCATGGCAAAATGTAATTTCTAATCTGGAAAGGACAGGTTTATCGTTCATTTCACATAGCCTGATTACTGACACCTAAATCTTTTAAAAGCTGTGACTACTGATGTGTTTTTTGTTTGTCCGTGTCTTTGTTTCGTCTGCTCTGCAATACAGCTGTCTTTTTTTGAATGAATTCAGGCCGTTAAACAAGACATTTCCTCTAAATGAGATAGGCTTTATTTGTTTTCATAATAAAGACACGTTGATCCATCAGCAGCTCGTTTGTGAGGCTCAGCTTGGCTGCGTTAGATTTGTGTTTCTGTTGTCTTCGAGCAGATGCCATCTTGGCACGGTGTGTGTTAATGTTTAGCCGGTCCTTTCAGTCCGGCCACAGAGGCTGCTGTGGCGTTGCACAGTTGTCACAGTCATTCAGACTGAGTTGCACAGAGTCTTTTCAGTGCTGCGCGCTGGCTGCGGTGGGCGTCTGTATGGATTTGGACACCGGACAGAGGCACAGGGTGGAAGGGATTACTTTCTCCTCTGGAATACTAATAGCCAAACTTTTGTCGCCCCACATACCTCTCTCCTTCCTATCAATCCACCATCCTTTTCCTCTTTCACWGGATTTGTGATCTGACGCTCTGTTCTCCCTCAGAATGTCCCCTCAAAACCAATTATTCTGTCTGTTAACCCCCCACACCCTCCGCACCCAAACCACCACCTCTCATTTCCAGTGTCATACTCACACAAGATCAAAAACATCCATGGACACACAAAAGTGCACTCACACACTTTCAGTGCTCAGTCTCCTTTCTCTGGTCCAACTCGCTCTCTTCCACTTATTCGCCCAGCCAGTCATAGTTTTTTTTTCAATAGTGGCTTTTGTCCCTTTCATCTGGTGGGAAACAAAGGATTCTTGTGCAAATGGGACAGRGGGAAGAAGAGGGCTGCAGGGGCCGGACAGGCAGGAAGAGATCACCACCTTGAGTTTGGTCCTTTTTTATTTTAAATTTGTTCGAAAGAGTTGAACCCACCAGAAAATATATATAATATTATGCAGACTGTTTTATAGGTGATAAAACACGAGTAATGCAGAATTGTCATGAGTTTTTGATAAACACTGGGATKAACGCAGAAACATTTTCTGTCGTTATTTTAAAGTTGAGACAACTGTCTCAATCCCTGGGATTTTTCTGTTTCTGTGTGTATAAAACCCAACAAACTGGGTTTTTCTCTCTGCCTTATTATTCCGGCTCCAAACAATAGGCTTTCTCATGCTTCTTTGGCATTTCCAAGCAATTATTTGATGAATTATTTATAACACAAAGTGGTGCGGAACACATGTTTTTGAAACATGGGATTTGGCAGCAAATATGAATAACTGGAAGACATGTTTTATATTGCTAGAATCTGAGTGTTTTCATTCATAATTTTRTCATACATCAGAAAACATTAGATTAGGGCTTATATACGTATTTATATTATTTCATTGTCAAAATAAATGACTTTATTCTTATTCCACATTCCTCTTATTAGTAGATGAAAAGACTAAAATGTTTTTTGAAGGCCTTAAATGAAAAGTGTGTTCTTAAGTCAATCAAATCTGAATATTTGCACATGACATGTCAGAAAACATATTTAAAACTGTTTTATGTTAAAATGATCATGGAAGTTGAAGAATGAATGTTGCTAATTATTTTCTATTGCCCTTGTGAAAGTTTGGTAATTTTAGAGGTATTTATCCAAGCATTTGAAGCAAATATAAACTACTTCAACATACTTTTACTGAATGAATGTTAATATGCATAATATATAAACACGGTTTTATGTATCTGGACATAGAAATGATTTGATCTTTACTAGATACTAAAATTATTAAAATGTAACCTTATAA